CACGTTATCAAGCAGACACATCGATGAATGAACTTATTCAAAATCTGATGGTTGAAGAGTGGAATAATCAAACATCTTACGAGTCCTACTTTGCACAGTGTCAGGCAGTTGTCTGTACAGCTACCTATGGCAGTCGTGGTAATATTATCTATATTGTTACAACAACAATCGGACTTATTGGTGGCCTGACAAAAGTGTATAAGTTTGCCGTGCCGCTGTTGGTGAAGATACTTCTTCTACTCATCATTCCGTACGTAAGAAGTAAGTTGAAAAGAAGGAGGAACAGAGTTACAACAGATATAACAACAAATAGCTTTATCGTATCCTCTTTAAATGCAGAAATTTTTGTGTAATATCGAGTTTCACTTTGACAAAACTTTGCATTTTTGTTCTGCTTTAAAGTATAATTGATTTATTCTTTTGCATCCTTAGATTTTTCAAGTTTAAATTAGATGTATGCTTATTTTTAATATACATTTACTTTGTAACTTTTATCAAGCACACCTGGCTACTGTCGAAAGTGAGCTTTGTTCTTTATTCTAAAAGACTTTAATTTTGTATTCCGCTTTCTTCTTCTCAGTAATTGACTTTCTTCTGAGAAATACACTCATTGTATTGTATGTATCGCACTTAACCTTAGTTTGCCAACATAATTCACTCTTCTTTATACTTCGTTTTGTCATTTTATTCCGAAATATAAACCGTCTCTACGCAGCTTAGCCGTCTATTAATGCAGGATATAGTCTAAAAACAGAGTTAGCTTTATTATTAAGAAAATGTATTCTTGTGAATCTGGAGCGAAAACTCAGAATTCTGCCCATAATTCTCTACTTTCTCCATCAGAACTCAACTTTTATGCAATAAAAATATTACATTCGGAGTTAGTGTCGAAAACCGAGAAATAACATACCGATCGCCAATACAACAGGTAATGCCTCACCTCTCATGGCATCTAGATTGATTCAAAATATCGAATGAATTGCTGGTTTGGTCGAAGAGATCATTTACACGCTTGATCTTTCCGACGCATCTCTAAAACATTTGAAATATACACGCAAGGAATTTTTATCTCTACTGCGTGGTACTAAAATACATGGAAAGTAATATTAGTGGTTAGTAAAAAGCGAAAATAAACACTACTATTCTCTGCGGTTGGGATATAGCAAAGTGAAAACCAATGCATACTGTCCACACTGTCCCAATCAACTGAATTCTATAGATTTAATTTCAAGTAAGGAGACCGCATTGAAGATCGCTACAATTATACTTCGTTGCGACTTTCACCATTCTTAGTTCCACATGTGTTTTCCCATCCAAACGAATATCGTAGAAACGTCATTCATGGTACGTAGGAGTGCATTACCCTCATCCCTCACCCTCGCATAATTGAGACCATTACCAGCGATATTACTGAGCTCCTGAGACTTATTATCGGATGGAATGTTTACATAGTACCATCCCCATGCATATTTTGGGCCAGGCTTTTGCTCTGATGGAGAGGAGGATATAATTTCACCCCAGTTAGAATCATCATGGGCTCTTGTAGTATTTCCTTTTCCACAATGAACTCATCATCTCCAATTCCACTTTTCCTTCGATTTCAGCAATATGAGAGTAGGTGATCCACACTTATCAATCCGACTTAAAAAATTAAGATCTGGCTTAAGTTGACGATTACTCAATGTTGTTAAATAACTGGAGGCATAACATTCGAAATAAATATAAAATTTACCATTTTTTGCATCATGGTCACGTAATGCCATCATTTCTGAAGCAAAATATAATACGCAATCAATCATAAAATTCATGACACTTCGATTTTCGACAATACTAGCACTTTTTTTGTAATACGATACTAATATCGATTCTAGTATTTTGACGCCATTGAAGTTTACATAATTCTGAATCCCGGTGTTCCGTCGATGTTTCATGTGCTTGAATATCTCTAGCACCATTTTTCCAATCTTGAGTTTGGTTGGCTTTTTCCTTAAACATTAATACATTCTTCCAATCGGATACTATCCATCTCCTCATCTATCGCTGCATTCACTATCTGATCAAAACTGTAGTTGTGTTCAGTGTTAAGTGAAACACCGTTAACAGAAGATCTGCCAGAACTGAAATTCAGCCAAAACTCAAATTTCGACTAGAAGTTAGTCTGAAAATGGTATATTTGTTATAGTAAAAACTGGAATTTATGCAAATTTCAGATTTGCGTAGCTCTGGACAAAAGTCGGATTAACACAATATTTTATCATCATGCGCTTAGTTTCTTTGGTGAAGGCTAGAGATGCAGTTTAGGGCTAACTCTGTTTAATCTAGTCTTCACGAAATACTTATCCACTTAGCCGCGTAAAGGGAGCATCATGTCTATGTAGCTTTTTTTTAATGTTTTTTTGTACTCAAGTGAGTACTTCAGTATGTACAATGTGTGGCAGAAATATAACAATTATGAATTTTTTTACTATGTCGCTTCATCATCTGCTTTATACACCTTTTTGTACCATCTCTTTTCTCCTGCAGAAAGAATAAGTATCATGAAACAAAAATAGCTATATATAGTTTTCGGATTAGAATTGTTGAAATACCAATCTTTAGACAAATGTCAAAAATATCGTAGACCAACGCTACCAGCAAGAACAAAACAGAACTATATGTGCAAGAAGAGTAAAGTGAAAAGAGAAAGAATACCAATTTGTTTGTGATTATCATTTTGTATTTTGACATTTACCTCATTTTGAATGGTATTTCATAGAACCAGCAACATTTGCTTTTCGACAAGGACAATGTGACAATGTCTGGTTGCACATTGCGATTTACAATCGCAAGTGGCACCACTGACTGAACCACGAACAAAGAGCTTAGATGCTTCTATTAAAGAAATTTCTTTATCAAGTTCAAGCACAGTGAGTGATTACAATTCGTCAGGACAAGTTGATCTGAGGTCAATAATACTTTCGATTGAAAATTTGTTTTGTAACAAACCATGTTGACAACATAAATGAACAATAAAGTCGTTGTCTTTTTTTTCTTTTGCTACAAGTATACATGGTAAAATTTTGGGATGTGTATTTGTTCTATCAACCTCATGAATTCTCACACCAAGATAATCTCCTTTTTTATATTGTTCAGCTAATTTACATAAATGTTCATCGTATGCTTTTCTTTTTTTATTTGCTGTTCCTAAATAATTTTCTGCCGCTCTATGTCTTACATCATTATGTCGTGGTGAATTTATTATTAATGAATTAGATGTTAATGCAGATGAAGCTGATGATTGAGAACTAGGTTGAGGCGGTGCTGGAGGGGAATCAAACGAAATCACATTTTCTGTTGTCGACTTTATTGTGGCAACTAGTGGTTGATGATTAGGGCCATAGGAAGAAGAAGGTGAAAGCTCAAGAAGAGAATGATAAAGAACACCAGCTGCATTTGGATCATTGTTTGTATTTAGAAGCGGAAACATTTCAGGAATGAAGTTATCTATACTTAAATTATCATTTTCTTTTTGTTTATCAAAATCATTAATTACAGTTTCATTTATGGTGAACTGTTCAACAATTTCATCAACAAACACATCAGCGCGTTCGATTGGAGTTGGTAATTGTTCTTCATCCATTATATCACATTCTTTTACAATTTTCCAAAAATCGAAATCCGATCGTGGACGTTGACCAAACATTATTTCATATAGTGTTGTTTTTGTCGTTGATGATACTCTAGTATTGATTCCATAAACAACTGGTAGCAGACCATCTGACCAATGAACTGAATTGTTCGTATCTAACCGTTTACCCAATGCAATACTTAAAACATCATTGGCACGTTCAATACAGCCTTGACTTAGAGGATGTCTGGGTCTAAAAAGTAAAAAACAATTGACGGAGTTTAAAGGTAACCTCTCCAGCAGATTTATTTTCGAGTGGAAAAGACCATGTAAATTTAGAAAAATGATCAATACAATGCAAAATCCAACGATAAACGACAGCACTTGAAATAGCATTCGGTCTTGTACGCGTATCAATCAAACCGATTTGCAGTCTAGTCATCACTCCTAGTGAAATTATTGGTTTTGATACAACTGGTTGTTTTAATGGTTTTCGAACTTGACATGCAACACAACTTTTCAAATTAATTTCGACAACAGCTTTTGGAACTCATGAATAATGTGAATTTATTTCTAACAGTGTTTTATCTCTCCCACCATGTGCTATAACGGGTGGCGCATAAAGAACCGGACTTTTTTGTTTTGCCTATAACTCCGCCGGTTTTCACCCTATCGATCCAAATTTTTTCCCAAAAGATTTCCATTCAATTCTCTATCACGCGCTGTTCTTTTATTAATGTAAACAATCTCCGTTATTTTCTTTCAAACGATACAATCTCTCAGTCCAACTCAAACAAATTTCCAGTACAACTTCTTTTCTAGTTCGTTTCACAGCTCGCTTCAACTCTGCAATTAACGTTGTCTTTGACTGAACTTTGTTCCAGTTGACTTGGTGAACAAATTCGTCCCAGATAGAGTAGTCTGAAGGGTTCAAGTCGGGAGAATTCGGGGGCCAATGATCTTTGTCAATAAGTCCAGGAAAATGATCATTGCACCATTTTTGAGAAAGTTGGTGAATATGAGGCTTGGCATCGTCTTGCTGGAACGTCCAATTATCTCCAAACACGTTATTTCCATACTTTAGAGCCACAAGAAGTACTTCATCGATATATCGTTGATGATTTACTGTGCCATTATCCAAAATAACCAAAGGAGTTACGCCTTCTGAACAAACGCCTAACCAAACCATGACTTTTTGTGGAAATTCCTGTTTTTGTTTAACACCGCCATTCTTATCAGCTTCGGCACGATTCACAGCCCAGGCTTGATCGTTTTGACAGTTGTACATACCGTTGAGGTCAAACATTTTCTCGTCAGAAAAAAGAATTCTCAAAGATTGTTCTTTCGAAAAGTTGTGACGAACCCAATTTCCAAACGTGATTCGTTTAGCTTTTTGAGTGTCTGTAGGTAGTGGTTCGATTCTTTTCTTGTACGACGTTAATCCTAAATCATTTTTCAAAATTCTCTGCACACTTCTTCTTGAAATTTTAAGTTCACTGGCCAGTTTTCGAGTTGGGACGCGTTTCTTCCGCTTTAAACGGTTTTTAACTTTTTGAATCATATTTTTTGTTCGAATAATACGAGGTCGACCTGGAGACGTTGACAGTACAATAGAGCCAGTCTCGGCGATCATTTTGCACCACTGAAAAACCTGAGTACCACTAATGGCACCCCTGAAATCCCGAAATATCTTGCTGGGTGTTTCTCCATTTTGATGCTTGGAAAGTACCAATTTTTCTGGTCAGTTCCAACGTTAAAACAAGAAAGTGATAAAACCAAATCTAGATAGTCTGTAAATGAATCACGTATGATTGCAGCTGAACTATTCATATTTAAAAACTTATTAAGCTTTCGAATAAACTTTATTCATCATCAGAAAATACAACAAGTTATAAAATGTACCTATAGAGTGAACTGTCTAACACACTTATATATATATATATATCTATAGTCTCTGAAGAAACAGAAAGAAAAACAAGAAAACTGTTCGTGAACGTTACTGTTTTTTCGTTTTCTTTTTCCTTCCCTTCACATTTGTACTGAAATGACCTTCTGGAAAGACGTAAAGTGGAACTGATCTATCAATACCATTAAAGATAGGACCTTTTGATCTGATAGCAAGAGATTCTTTAACTAA